CTTCTTTCAATATGACTCCAACAGCATTTTGTTCCTTGGGGAAGAGAGTTGCAAAGTGTTCATTTAGCATCTCAGCTGTACCCTTTGCCTCCATTTGGTACCTAATTGATCAAATCTCTTCTTTTATTAACCTTGTTCTTTTTAAAATTTCCCTTTATGTTAGCATTCTCTTCCCATTCTCTGTGCCTTTCTCATTTTCTTTTTTCACTTACCCTTTGAAAATTCTATGTTTAGCCTGTTTCTCATCTGCATTAATAATCTGAAATCTGTAATATACACTTTTTTCCTGTCCCCCTCAGTCTCTATCTCTTTTGTCCTCCAGGCTTTGTCATCTCATCATCCCTTTCATCTGGCATTATTTGGCCTATCTTTTCCTGTCTTGGAAATGTATTTTGACCATATGCAAACCACCTCCTCTTCAAAGACAGACCATTATTCCAAAAAAATTTGCCTGTCAATCTTTAATTTCAATTTATATGGCACAGACCATTTCACATCCCACTGAATTGGCCCTCCTCCAACTATGTATTTTATCTTGATTACTCTTTGCATCATAACATTTAGATTAACTATGAAAACGAACGATCACTGTCTCTTAAAGGTCCCCCTACTAACACATGATACATTTGCCTACCAGTTCCCCAGAACCAGATCATAAAAGTTTATGGAGGTGACTTGGAGGGTACAAGTGAACTTTAAGATATTTCGGCATAGACCAAGGAAGTGAAGTAGTCATTGAGTGATAGTGTAAAGCCTTATGGTAGGGAAGTTCTAAAAGGATTTATGCAAAACATATTTGAACTGTATGTCTTATATATAATGGAATACAAAACATATTGGGAGCCTATGAGCAGAATATGAGATAATGGAGAGAAATTGAGAAATGCTGCAATAGAAAACTCATATCAAAGATCATTTGATGAAGTAACAGAGAGGTGCTAATGGAAGATCATTGATCTAAAATGCTAAGTCTGTTTTCTCTCCACAGAAACTGCCTTCCTTGCTGAGTATTTCCAGCATTTTCTGTTTATATTTCAGATTTCCAGCATCCAAGTAATTTGAATGGTAGTACAGGGATAATGCAAGAAATGTAGATATGAACTTTAAGCACATTATAACATGCCTCATAACAGACTTATTCATAAAATAAAAACGCAAGGTGTTTAAGGGACATTGGTAGCTTGGCATGTAGTAGGGTTACTACAAAATGTGTAATGGAGCTCTGTCCAAGAACAGGTTTTCTGCTCATCCCCTCTGCCCCTTTAAGTCTTGCACTTTCCTTTCCATTTGCTCGTAAGAACTCTCATTTTCAACATCAATAAGCAATGAACAATGTAACTAGAAAAAAAAATACATGTGGTGGTTTCCTGTTGTTTTCCTTATGTATATTTAAAAGAAACAGAAATCTTCTTCCCAAGCAGCTGTGGTCCCTTGGGGTTCTAACTCTTCTGCCATCACCACTGAAAATTCACTGGTTCCAAAGTTGGCCGTGGCTCATAACCCTGGGATAGGGTGACTCACTAAAGATGGCCACTCCCTGAGGAATCAAATGACCCTGCTACCCTGGAAAAACTTAACAACACAGTAAGTAGTGAGCATGATTGTAGCAGACTTCAGGACGTAGTCTGGTGACAAATACAGTTAATTGCAGTTAACTGTGAAGTGATGAATTTTAGAATAAACAACATGGAGAGGCTGTGTATTGGTGTTTAACAGTACAATTGTGAGAAGTGGAAGTGCATGGAAATCTGGGATGAATATTACCAACTACTTGAAGATAGCTGGAAAAATTGTTAAAATGGATTAGAAAGCATCTGGGGTACTTGGTTTACTAAATAGGGACATTCAATACCAAACAAGGAAAGTTACGTTTAGTCTTTTCAAACATTTGCCGAGTCCTCAACTTGTGTATTGTGTGCATTTGGGATAATCACATTTTTGAAAGTCCAGATCAATGCTCTGGCGAGGATACAGGAGATGGTTGACAGAATGATACCTGGGTATAAGGAAGAACAGTTATGTGGATAGATTCGGGAAGTTAGGATTGTTCTCCTTAGAGCAGAGCAGTCTAAAGGAAAACCTAATAAAGATATTTAGAATTACAGTTTTTATGGAGTAAGTAGGGAAGACTCTTTCCTCTGATAAGTGGTTAGGTGAGGTCTGTTGAGTGGAAATGATGCATGCAATAGTTATAGTCCATGAGTCTTGCTGAGAGGCCTGTAAGTCAGAGAGAGTGATGGCCCCACGAATGTGCACTAGCTGAGAAAACATGGTGATACTTGCCCTTGCAGAGCATGGAATATCATTAACTTTCTTCCTGCTCAGCTGGATATTGTGCTTTGCTTGGGACACTGCACTGGCCCAGGCCGCTATCTCAGTCGAGCTGTCTGAGTCTGGTGGTGTGGCCTCCTTTACTGGTTGGCAGGAAGAAGCACTGCCCTCCTTTCTACGATGCCGTCAATCAAAACCTCTAGGTCAATGTTGCTGAAGCAAGGAGTTAGCCTGTCTTTCCTTTGTGACAATAATTCAGGATCATAATGTGATGGAAAGTACCAGGCTTTCCATATCTAAAGGGGTGAAAAACTGGCTTTTAAATATGGCACTAACAGTGTGCACCTCCACCTTACATCCATGCAATTCTATCTGACAGATTCCAAAAACATTAATAATAATAAGAGCTGACCTGAACTATTACTTGGGAAAAGCCACCATGTTCCATTGCGGGTTGAGTGCCATATCACAGCTGAGAAAAAAACACAGTTAAGGATGGGAACATTCAGCCGTAAATTTTGATCAAAGGTCATAACTTGGTCGAAGTGATATTATTTCTGATTGGTGCAGGACGCATTGCTGATTTGAGGAGGGGCTGAAATATATTATTGTGGCAGAGAGAAAGGAGTATAACTCCGCATCTGTTTGTGGTTCACATGAACTGGGGTTCTTGTTGTTAACATGAATAAGAAAGCAGAAATTGTTCTGTTCCCTAGCATGAAGCATTCCTGGCTTTATAGAGTGACAAAAGGAATTACTGAGAAAAATCCATAAGTTTATCAATTCAAGCTGCTTATTTTATTGAATGAGGAGTTTATTTTTGTGTATTTGTGTATATCAGGTCTAAATGGTGGTCAGCATTGTATATTGCTTGCAAGGAGTTGGAAGTAACAGACAACTTCCAACTCTGGAAATTCATTCTGGTGGCCCATCTTGGCAAATGAAAAACGCCTTGTTGCTTGTCTACCAAAACATGTTCTTGGCAGCAGTGCAGGACTTCTATTCTCAACCAAATTTTCTTCACTATTGGCTGACAGTGACAAACTGAATGCTCAATGATGCCATTAGGTTATAAATGTAATAACAAGCTCATAATTCGACAGCAATCTACACTGTGTCTTTGGGCACTGAAATCCTGTATGTACTATTTTTACTATTTATATTTGTGTCAAATTTCCATCAATGCTACTTCAACTAAGCTGTTAACTTATTTAAGTGAATTAATTATGTTTTTCTAAAATCACACAAGAAATTGATGCAAGCATGTTAACCAAAGTGACCAAAATAGCACATATATGATCATCAGCTCTCGCTAAGAAATGTTCACAGTACTTTTACACTCATGTTATTTTGCACTAAGTTAAGATATTTGAACTAATATAAATTAGTGGTTTCTGGCTCAGTGCAGAATTTTCATTCTCAAATATTTATATGATAACGTTTGTTATAAGACAACAATAAGTGGGTACAGTTGACAGAATGCTACAATTATAATCTTCCCTTTTTCCTCAAGTGTCTTACTTTCTATAAATTCTGGCCAATAATTTTCTTTTTGTAATTTGTTGGGATTTAAATGCATTATTGGTGACTGTTTAAAGTGAACATGGTAGATAAACATTTTTGTAAATATGTTAAAATATAAGTGAATTAATGTAACCATAGACCTTTGACGTATGCAGGGCCAAGGGGACTTACTGAAAAATGCTAAGAATGAGGCACTGGAAAACATGAAGCAAATCCAAACTGCATGTATCTCATGTGGACTGAGCAAGTCAACAAGTGAAAGGGCACGGTTGAAATCCAAATAAAGTCTTCAGGAAATACAGGAAAACGAAAATGGAAAATTGAATGAAAGCTCTGATAATTCCAAGACCAGCCCCAGTAGCTTGATGATGGAGTCAAAATTACTGCTTGCAGTTAGCCACCAATTTATTTCCATGGATGATACTGAAGATACTAACAAAGCCTTTAGAAAGAACAAGACTTAATATTTAAAACGACAAATTTTATGGCATATACCACAATAAAATAATTCAAGGAAAAATATATTAAAGTGATATTTCTGACATTCTTGTAACCACCTTTGAACTTGAATTTATAGCTCATTTAAAAGAAAGGATGAGAACAGGAACTGACAAAATCACAATTGGCATGCTCTTTTCTTCACACTTTTCATTGTTAGTTATGCGTGTACTAGTTTTTTAAATACATTTTAATATGAACAAAAGTATTCCACTGTACATTTTGGTTATGCATAGCAGTATTTTTCTGTTGTGAGGCTATTGTATGTAAATACTGCTTTTATTTTAAAACGTCTGTTCATACATGTATTGAGGACTTTTTTTGAAATTATATTCTGAAATGTCCTACTCACTCACTCTGTACACAGTTGAGGAACATAGTCAAGCCTGGATCCTGTAATCAGAAAACATCAAATATAAAAGAAAAGTTTACCAAAGTAGAGCAAAAAGCATTGTTTATAGATTAATTCCTGAGGAACATAGATTACCACTTTGTGACAAACACAAATTGTAACAAGGTTAAAATTTTCAGTCGTTTTGCTGAAATTTAAGAGAAAACCAATATTCTACATTGCTGTGCGTCCTCTCAGTTTTCAGGCACTAAGTTACGCTGCAAAATTTGCATATCCATCAATGTCTTACCAATTTTTCCAGTGACTACCTGAATGAGACAGGAACCAAAATGATCCTTGATTGGTCCTTGATTGGTACTGGATTACTCAATGTCATCCAATGTCTTGGAGTAATAAAATTGGCCAGTGTTTCCACTATCCAGTTACTCTTTCTAGAAATAGGTGAGGTCTGTCTGTGGGAATTGGCTGAGGCAGAAAGAAATTTCCATAAATGTCTTTAAGGATAGAGAGGAAAGAAGGAAATTCAACATGGAAAATAAATTGCACCAGCTGTTTTTGCAAATGTCTGATACAAAATGGATATTTGCAAAAGTCAACCTTGCACTTGCATGTGAAGTTTCAAAATAATCTTTTTCCTTGGAGGAGTGAGTGTTTGGTCAATCAAAACAGGATAAAGTTAGGGAATGACTGAACTGAAAACTATAGGTTCCAAGTGAGATGAATACATGTCAAGAAGACTTTCCCACAGCTGCCATGCTAATTGAGCTCAAGGCTTGGTAATCAGAGCTTGAACATTTATAGTTGCGCTTCTTTGGAACAGTGTGTTCCAATTTTGGTTATGTTGCCTGGTAGAATTGGGGAAAATGGCTTCCCTGTACTATCCAACAGCAACAATAACGTTGACATTGTTGTTATTGTCATTTGTGACGGTCTTTGTGGGGCTAATCTTCATATCTTCCTTAAATAAGTAGCAATGCTGGAGTCAAGCTGAACATACAAGGCAGACAATTTGTGGACTGGGAGTAAATGGGACAACCAAGTGATGTCATACTGGAAAAAGTGTTCCGGCCCATCCAGCCTGTCTCACACAATGCGATGCCTTGTGCTTCATGTATAGATTCTGTCCAATACGTGATCACCCAAAAGAAATAAATTAAAATCAGATAAGACCAGGCAAACTTGAAGGAAAAGGTCAAGGAAGTTTATTTCTAACAAATGTACATTCATCCACCCTAGTCCCACCTCCTTAGCTGCTTTGGCATTTAAACTAGTTCAGGGTATTTCTCTGCTCCTGATAATATCGTGCTGTGCCTACCTTCTATATGGGATGACTTCTACCCCAGCCAGAAACAGCCCTTTGTTGAAGGAGTTCCATGAAGCAATGACAGACTGCTCCAGGTGGCCACTGTTTGCGTTGGGTAAAAGAATCTAGTTTTTTTCTCTTTAAAGCTGTTTTCTGGATTTCATTGTAAGAGGTGAAGAAAACTCAGGCAGTTAGTAGACAGTTAACAAGGAAACTTTTGAAACATTCTTATTTGCTCATTTCCAAGGTATATTTCACTTTTTTTGCAAAATAGTCGTCTTTGGATTTCTCTGCTTCAGAGGACAGGGTTTGTCCTGTGCAGTATTTTGGTATGGTCAATAATGAGATCAATAGATTTTTGAAGATTGAAGAAATCGAGTGATTAGGGAGGGAGAGTGTGTAAGTGACATTGAGGTTGAGCATTAGGCAAGATCTTACTGAAAGATGGAGCAGACTTGAAACATCGTAACACTTACTCCTCCTAGTTCTTATGATCCTAAATCTAGCCCACATTCAAATAAACATCTTTGATCGGGGATGATAATCTTCATTAAGTTTATTAAGGAACTGTCTTTGAGTAAACTACATTCAAGAATTACTGTCCAGTCACTACTACAAATACTTTGGACTTTTGCACCTATTTGATAATATAACATTTCTTTTGTTTCTTCAATATGTTACACCTAGTGTTTTTCAGCAATATCCATGTAAATGTTCATTAGTCTTGTTATAGTGTAGGGCTTACATATTGCAGTCCAGGTTGATCCTTTGTATACTGACTATACTCCAAAATTATGTATATGTTCTATCAATATCCATTTTGTAAATTTAATTATTGTTATTGACAAAGTTAAATATGCAGTTATAAAATATGTGTCTTCATTCATTTTGTTTCTGAATAAATTAAAATATTGTAAATCTTGATTTTTTTTCATTTAGATTAGCCAAACAAATGCTACTCAAAGGACTAATGCAAGATGTGCAGCACCTTGTGAAATATACAACTTCATAGGTAGAATTCACAGAATGCGTCAACACAGAGCTGCTATTTTGGCACATAAAATCTGTGCCACAGGCCATCCCATCAAATCCAAACTGTTCTTTGTCTATTCACTTAATATTTTTCTTTCTCAAATAACTAATTACAATTTGGAAGAATTTGTGGATCCAACAATAGTAATAGTTTGTGACAGAGAGTGCCATATTCTGACAACTTTCTTTCAAACCACCACTATTAAATTGTTTAATGACCATCTTTGATTTTTGTCAATCCTAACCATCTTGGTGACTAGTGGAAATAATCTTTCACTACTTAACCCTTTATTACCTTAAAAACCTCGTAACCGCAGCTGCAATAAAAGATTGAAGCAATATACTGAAGATTCTGGAAATCTAAAATACAAACCAAAAGTGCTGGACGGCAGGTCTGGCGCATCTGTGGAGATAGAAAGAGTTAGCATTTCAAGTCCAATATGACTGTTCTTTGGAACAAATTCGGACTCAAAATGTTAACCCTGTTTCTGTCTCCACAGATGTTGCCAGACCCACTGAATTTGTCCAGAGCCTTCTGTTTTAATTGCAACAGAAGATGGCCTAACATCTCTGGTATTTTATCATAGTTGTTATCACTTAGTAATATCTGAATGAATCCATGTTGTACCTTTGCATTAAGCATACAGGAGCTGCTAATCGGTGTTTTGTAATTTCCTTAAATATCAAGTTAGAAATGTTGCTTCTCACAGGGAAGTTAGAATTTGAGATGGCTGTTAAGATTTTTGTTTGCAGATAGTGCTTTTGTAATACAGTTTAGAACATAATTAGTTTTGCACAGAAGTAATGGTCAACAAAACTTGAGTATTGTTGCAAAACAACCCTTTGTCAAAGTTTTTTGCTCTGCACTGTTCAGGACAATTTGAAAGAATACCAAAGCAATGGGGAGGTAACATTTATAATAAATGAGAGGAAAATATCAATTGGTTGGCAAGTGGACTCTGATTGCTAGAGGTGTTGCCATGGAGAATGCACCAAGCACGGCAATTAACTGTCAGTTATCATTAATTGGTGCATTCTTCACAACAACACTCCTTTCAATCAGAGACCACTTGCCAACCAATCAACAATCTTCTCTCATACAGCATAAGTGTCATTTCCCCTTTATTTTGGTATTATGAGTTATCCTGGTGAGCGCAAGATGAAAAGCTTCAGCAAAATGAGTACTTTTTTCACCAATACTCAATAGAAGTAAATGCTTTGATCTGATTTTAACTTGTACGAATAAAAAAGTAACTTTTGTTTTTTGTAAAAGAAACTAACTCATTTGGTGAATGCACTGTGTGCTGCGAAATTGACTTATTCAGGACAGCAAATATTCATGTTCAGTTCCTGCATTTTACTCATCTCTTTATGCCAGCAACGAGTGACGTGGTTGTTTTGTCTCAGTATCCCTAGTCTTGGTATTTCTGATATTTGTCCCTCTACTTGAAGTTACATTGATCATGGTGCACGAACAGATGCCATATAGTCTCAGGTCTAGATAGGTCCCTTGAGAGAGGTACCAGAGGGATGCTAGTGTCCATATTTGATGATGGTCACAGGCTTCGAGAGGAGTTAAGGTGAGAGGAAGAAAAATATATGTAAAGAGCGGTTCTTGTGAAGAAAATGTAATTTAAGTTTTTAGACAGAAGGGCAATAGATGCAAGATTATTAATTTATCAAAAGAGTTGGCACACTTTATTGTAGTCTTTATTAATGGTTACTTAATATATCTGTAGTGAAAGCATTTTGGATAAGTTGAGTTGTCTTGTTTGAAGCCCAGTTAAATAGCTTCTCATGCATTTATGAATGAGCATAAACTGCTGTACTGTGAACTTTATTTTTTCTTCTTAAAAAGATTTTGTTTTGACAATATTTGAATGATGTGAACAGTAGTTAAACTTAGAAATAAAAGCATAAGAAATAGCAGCAGTATGCCATAAATGATGATCTTACATATGTGAAATATGTATGTTTGAAGAGTTCAATATATAATTTTAAGCCAGTGATACTTACAGACATGCAGTGTTAACTTCTAGTCTTAGCATGCTAAATTTCAAATCCATCAGTCACACAGCCATAACGTTAACCAACTTCTTGTCAAAAAGGTTTTACATAGGTTTACTAAATTTGAATTTCTATTCCTTCATATGTTTAACAAAATGCAGTTGAAATAAATATTTGATCAACTGCGATGAGATTCATACTTTAAGTGTGAAGAACAATTTGTTAAAGTAACATGTGTTGAAGGTAACAAGCTTAAGACAATGATTCTCCCCAATTGTAAAATTGTATCTCACCTGTGTTACAGTAATGACTCCTCAAGATAAGTGCCTTTCAAATCAGAAGATCAATAACTTCAGGCTGCCCTCATGCACCTCCTATGGGCTTACTTCTAGTATAGGCAAAAAAAGGGGCCACAGAAACGCAACTAGTGACAGATGTGCCCACAATTTCCTTGGATGGCATGCTAGTCTCCAGCCATGGTCCTGTCTCTGGGCTGTTCTCTTTTGTGGGTGTAGAGGTGTGTCAGCCCCTGTGGTGGATAACCCATTACAATTAATTGTCCACTAAGGTCAGTCAGCAAAAGCCAAATAGAATTTTCCAGTGGGCTTGTAGCTTCCTGATGCTGAAATGTAGCTTGAGGATGGAGCTTGCAGGTCAGAGAAAAGCAGTGCTTAGGAGGCACCCTCTTTCTCTATCTGTGTTATCTGCATCGGGAGCTTCCATTTCGAATGGAGGGCCACTGATTTGTCATTTCTCAATTTGCTCTCAAACCTTAGGAGTCTGCATTTTGACTAACACTGCTTATCAAGGATTGCATGAGGAGCATGAAATTGCATGAAATGTGTCCAGCATCAGGTCTTGACCTCAGAACATAAATTCAGCCTCAGCCAAGGAAATGGTGTAATTGTGAGACTTTACAGAGTGAAGGACAAACTGGATACAATTTACTAAAAACAAAAAGCTGTGGCTACTATTTGTAAATAAATTGGGAAATTTGAAGTTTCCGACAATATTATTCACGATTTAATCCCATCATTGTCACTGTATTTCAAACAATTACAATGAGAACTTTCATTTAATTGCCATATATAATTCAGCTGGGAAGAGATGTCTGTGACATACACAATTCATTCAAAATCTGCCTACAACTGTATTAATTATTGATAATTATCTCTCTAGCCGCAGAATTAATTAATAGTTGTTGGACAGTACTAATATGTCTACTTCTTCAGCAGTTTTACATGGGATCAGCCAGTATGCTTGTGTTATTGCATTATTTAAAGTCATTGACCCATGAAAATTCAATTCAAATCTTTTTCAGTAACCCATCGCAGTGCAGCAACAATCACTTTTTCAGGAATTTTCTGTTACTAAGATACAGTGTAGCTACATGGCATGTTTACATATTTTCTATTCCTCTTTGAATACTGTGAACGGGATAGCACAAACCTACACCTATGTGGATACGTTTGACAATTTATTTTCCTCCAGGGAAAGTCATTATTTCATGTGTTCTTTATCAATGCAGAATAAAATGTGCAAACACAAGCTCTTCTTCCAGAGGCAGAAACCTCTGCTAAATGCTTGTTACATTAGATACAGTAATTCCTAAGGTGGGTAAACTTAAACAAGCGCTTAATCAGAAATCTGCTTTATGTCCCACTTGCAAGCAGTTGTATCTTTAGATGTCAAGTAGTTCTTAAAATGTAACCTGCATAATATATGCAATTTTCTGGCAACTTTGACTACTAATAATTAGCCACAATTTCATCAAAATGGGAAGAAATGTGAAAGTAGTTTTGTTATGAACAATTTAGGATATCTCATATTATAACACAATGAAGTCTACTTGTCACTGTCAAACAATAATGGACAGAAATTGCGGCTAGTGTTATGTGCCACCTGCAGAAGTTACAGGATGTTTATTGCAATTTGTATATATTACAATAGACAAATTTACTGGTGTGAATTGTTTCTTGAGCCCAACCCAGCTGTTATGTTTTGTCTAAAGAAATAGCCAGGTAAACAATGTCTTTGGTTGTTACGTTTTTATTGTACTAATTTGCAGTTACACAAATGAATAAATTGTGAAAGAGAGTACGTGACTTGTAAATTATGGCTTGCAATGACATTGGTGTTTAGACTTCCACTGAAATTGTCATGTTTTTCTGTTATCAAAATCTACATTAATTAAGTAAATGCCAGATTTAAATTTTGAGAATGAGCCCATGATCTCATTTTTTCATAAGGCAGTGTCTGCTGACACCTGCAACTGCAGGCAACTGTGTATGTATTAATTCGGAAACGCACCAGACACAATTGTCACTTAAAATTCCGATGACCATCATGCACAAAAACTGCATTGTGCATGCGCAGAAACACACTATTGAGGAGGGGTTCAGCAGGGGGAGGGAAGAGAGTGGGCAGTGAAGATGTAGGAGGAGAGTGAGGATGGAGAGGGAATGAGGTTAGAGAGGGAGATTGAGGATGCAGGAGGGGAGCGAGGTTAGAAAGGAATAGTGAAGACGGAGGAGGGAAGTAACATTACAGAGGTTTAGTGAAGATAGAGGAGGGGAGTGAGGTTGGAGGAATGAGTGAGAAAGCGGGGAAGTGAGATTGGACAGATAGGAAAGGATGAGTCCCTCCACACATTCAGAGCCCCCTTTTCCCACCTCCACATTCATGGCCCCCCCATCTCGCCTGCAACCCACCCATTTCTGGATCCACTGAAGGCTGGACAAATGGAAGGCAACTTCATTCTGACGGGGTAGGTTTAGGCATTACAATATCGTACTGAGACTGGAAAGAAAACTCCAATTTAATCTGAGATAGT